GCGAGGACATCCTTGAGGTGCTGGCCCGCGGGCCCGACTACACCACCTACCGGGTCAGGGTGCAGGTGCACCGGGCCAACGACGCCGGCCAGTGCGAGTCTGAGGTGAGAGCTGGCCCAGGGCAGTCTCCACACCCAAACCCCCAAGATGCCAGAGAGGGTCAAGACCCAGACTCACATCTGGGGACTCCCTGGGGGACCTCCAGGGCTTCCCACCGGAGTGTCCACAGTCCTGTGCACCAAGGAACCTGGACCTCCACACCCTCCCTCAGCTACAGGAGGGTAGAAAGCCACTCCTTACGTACTTGCAGGAACAATAGAGAAAATAGTTGTTTCCTTCCCAGCAGACCAGGAGCACATTTGCATGTTGCTGTTTTGTTGGTGCACTGCAGGCCCAGGGGTCCTGTGGAGGCAGCTCCACTGTCCTTGCAGACCTCCTCCAACACGGAGGGCGTCTGCCACAGCGATGCCCCTCTCAGTGCCGCCGGACCTTGGCCGTGGTGCAGTCCAGGTGCCATGTCAGCAGGGCGGCCGGGAACACCGAGTGTGTCCGAAGGGACTGTGTGAGTTTGCTCGGGCTGCCGTGACGTGGGCCCGCACTGGCTGTGTGAACAGCAGACATTCATTTTCTCACAATTCTGGAGGCTAGAAGTTGGAGGTGGGGTGTCAGCAGGACTGGTTCCTCCCGAGGGCTGTCTCCTGAGCTCGTAGCTGGCGGCCGTCTTCTATCTGTGTCACATGGACTCCCCTCTGCACTTCCATGTGTCCACCCCTCCTCTTCAAAGGACACCGGTTATATTGGATTAACACCCACACCACTGAATTCAATGACTTTAGTGACTTGCTTAAAGACTAAAACTCAAATTCAATCACACTCTGAAGTTCCAGAGTTTCAAAGTCATGGAATTAAGGTGACACAATCCACACCACAGTATATACCATCACCCGGAGATGGATGCCCAGTGCAGGGGAGGACGTGCACATGTCCAGTCCTCACAGCTGCAGGCGGATCCACATCCAGAGGCTGTGGCAGTGAGGTCGCCAACAGCACTTTCTGGTGGTGGCTGCTGCCTTGCTCCAGCCCAGCCTGGGGATTTCTCACTCATTGAAATGTTTACCAATCTGACGTCAAGCTGCCCAAGGCAATCAGTGTTCCTTGATTGGCGATTGCCTCTGGGGTACCTGGACTGACTGTCAGCTTTTCACCAGCCACGTGGATTTGCTCCTTCCTGCGTCATCTGCTCAGATCCCGGCCTGGTGGTCGGCTTTCTCCAGCCTGGAGTCTCCAGGCATTGGCGTGGAATCCAGGATCTCTAGAATGAGAGTCTCAAAATGCCCTTTAATGTAAAAGGAGGAGAAATAAGTGTCTTTTTTGAAGTCAATGGTTTTTCTAGGTGTGTGAATCCTGTACACTCTCTCTAAACTGGGGAGTGACAAGGGTCCCAGACCCTCTCCCTCCATGTCAGGGACAGATGAGTCTCAGGTAGCTGCGAGAGAACATCATGCAGGACAGTTCTCAGTTCTGACCTGTATGACCTTGAGCAGCCATCTGACATCCTAAGCCTCTGGGTTCACATCTCCATAGTGGGGATGTCTGCTGAGGACTCATGGGGACAATGTCCTTCATACAAACTATTAATACAGAAGGTCTGATGTTCCTCAGCTAAAAGCATGCCTAGGTCACAATTGTATAAACATCCTCCACTCACCAAACTTAAATTTTTTTTTAAAACATTTGCATTTTGCTGAACCTCACTGGGCATGGGCACCCTGTCCCTCCTCTCTCACATGTCCTGAGGTCTGGCAGGTCCAGGGTGAGCTCCAGACCTCCATCCTCCTGGGTTCATGGTGATGTCGCTGACCTGATGTCCCTCCTTGTCCCACCCAGTGTGCAGCTGAATTAACTCTTAACCTCCGTGAGGCCTGCAGGATGCGTGCCCTCCAGGAAGGCACACTGGAGAAGATGGTGGTGTCCATGGTACCAGCTTTCCCACGTGGAAAAATTCCCCACATCTCCACCTTTATGTCCATCCACCCGGCCTTCTCCAGAGCCCAGCTGTTCCTGGACCAGCTGTTTACTAGGTGAGCACACGCCCCCTAGTGGTGACTCTGCCCACTGCTAGCCCTGTGTCCTGAAAATGTCACCACATCTCGCTGAGCCTAGGTTTGCTCCTCTGAAAAGTGGGTGATAGAGGATAAACCTAGTGGGGTTCTTGCAGGGACTACTTTGGGGACAAGCCATGGCAGGTCTGACCCGCTGCCTGGCTCTCTAGAAAGGGCTGCTGGGTGTGTCCGGCTGTTCTCAGCAATGACTTCTCTCTCCCCATGAGAAGTGCCCTGACTCACCCATCGGCGGGTGGCCTGTGGCATCTGAGTTTGGAAAAGCACATGGGAAAATGCATGTCAAGCAGTTTGAGATTCCACCTGGCTAGTCTTTGTCCTGGTCTTTGGTGTGACCAGATTAGGGATGTCTGGGGACAGCAGGGGCCCCAGGCCCACTCAGACATTTGGATGGTTCTGGTTGGAGCTCACTGACTGGACAATGTGCATTGAGCTCCTACTGCCAGCAGGCACATTGGAGACACTTAGCCTGACTCAGGGAACAAAGTAGACACAGTGCCTGGGCCTCAGTTCTAGGTAGCATGTCAGACTGTCACACTAGATGTCATTCGCAGGTGCTGCCCACTATCCATCAGATCTGATGCCATCCAGGTGTTCTCTACATCTGGAAATATGCAGCCATATAACGACCAGGGTGACACACCCCAGGACCAATTGAAAAAGTGAGTGGTCTTTGGGTCCAGAAGGAGGCCTCCTGTGTCAACAGGATGAGGGGCTGCGGGTGGACAGGGGCTGGCAGAACCCTGATCTTACACGTCTGCTGATTCCCAAGGGAGGACTGAGGTCTGGTGGCTTCCACCCCATAAGGACAGGGTCAGAGAGCACTGTGGGTGGGCTTCCTGGCCTCATATAACCAGAGGGGAGGCTGGGTGAGCTGTCCCCAGGAGTCCCATCCCCACCACAGACCATCCTGCTCTGCCTGCTTTCTCTGCACCCACTCCCCTGACCACCATCGCCAGGCCCAGAACAGGACGTGGGGAGCAGGCTGCTCACACCCTGTCTCAGTCCTCAGTCCAGGTGCCCAGTGCTCAGAGGGCTGGGTGGGCAGTGCACAGGCCTCCAGGACAGCTCTCGGGGGAAGAGGAGACTCACACAGACTCCGTGTTAGCCTGCTGGGTCACCAGGCCTGCGACTCCCAGGACAGCCCCAGGGGCAGGGGATGGCATGGGGCTGAGCCCTGGATGGGCCGGGCAGGCATACGGGCCCCGTCTGAAGCAGGGTGCCATGGGAGGACCGTGCAGGAGGAAAGACCAGGACTCTGACCCCGCTGCCCTCCTGCCTCCCCCAGGGCCGTAGCTTCTGTGATGGGAGCCTGGCCGGACCAGATACAATATGTCGGCCAGCCCCTGCTTCTCCCCTGGTTCACCCTGAAGCAGGCCCTCGTGCAGGGCCACCTCCCTGCCTCACACCCGCTGGGCCACGTGCTCAGCCTCTGGGTGGAGCTGGAGCATCTGGAGCCCACGGAGGCAGAGCTGGAAGGTGAGGGGCCTGCAGTCTGGGAGACGGGCGGGGTGGGTGGGCTCAGGGGCCGCAGTTCCCCTGGGGGCAGTGGCATCTTTCCGTCTCTGGGAGGGCACGGGAAAGCCAGGCCTGTGTGTGAACTGTCTCTTCAGCTGCTCCAGAGGCTCCCCCAGAGCCCCAGCGCGCTCCAGAGCCCGAGGAGGGGCCTGCCCAGGGGCCCGTGCCCGGTCCCGCTGTGCCAGTGATGGAGCCAGTGTCACCTCCCTCAGCCCCTGGGGGCCTGGGGCCAGCACCCGCCTCACCCTCCACCCCAGGGCCGGCTCTCCAGCAGGAGCCTCCTGCACCACCAGCTCTGATCCGAATGCCAACAGCAGAACCAGCTCCATGCCCAGCAGTGGACCACCCCCCGGCTGGGACCACTAAGCACCTGATAAAGGAGGAGAAGCGTAACATCCTGAGCTTCCCTCCCAGACTGGTGGCAGAGCAGCTGACAGTGATGGACGCGGTGAGCAGTGGGGCTCTTGGGGAGAGTGTGGGGGGGGGGCTTCCCTCTGCCCTCAGCTGCCCCGACCTGCCTTTTCTGATCTGAATTACCATAATCTGGATTGAAATTGCACCTCTCCCACCGACCACCCGTGGGTCCTGGGTAACTCTCTCAACCCCCAAGCCTCGCTGCCCACCTGTGGACAGTGGGGGTGGACACGCACAGCACCAGCTGCTCAGAGTGGCTGCAGATTCCAGGAAGCAGATCAGACAGAAAGCTGGGCGGGTCCTGGCCCGGTAGGTGGGAGGGGAGCTCACTGCGTGCAGCCAGGGCCCTGGGGCTCCCAGCCATGTGCCCATGAGACTCAGCGACCTAAACACTGATTAGGCACCTGATGTGTACTTTCCTACAAGGGAGACAAACATAGAGCCCATGGCTGTAGCTGCCACAGGGCATGTGCCCTGAATGGGGATTTGGACCAGAGGGATAATCAGGATGCCGGAAGATGCCCTCTTGGGGTGAGTGGACTTGAGCCGCATCCTGGAATTTGGAGTCAGTGAGGATGGGCTGGAGGCAGATGCTCCTGTCCCTTCCCACCTGTCCTGGGCTCTGGGTCATCCAGTGCTGGGTCCCTTGGTGGACAGAGATTGAATCCCAGGGACTCCAAGGCTCAGGCCACATCCTCAGCTTCCTGAGCTTCAGTCTTTCCCAGTGACCTCTGCAAAAGGTTGGGGACATGAGCTGGGTGTGGCAGGGTTGGGTGACCCTCCCCTTTCTCCCCAGGAGCTATTTAAGAGGGTGCTGCCCCACCAGTGCCTGGACTTTGTCTGGTCCCAGAGGGACAAGCCTGGCAAGGAACACCTGGCCCCCACCGTCCGTGCCACCATCACACAGTTCAATCATGTGGCCACCTGTGTGATCACCACCTGTCTTGGGGACCCTAGCATGAGGGCCCGGGACAGGGCCAAAGTGGTGGAGCACTGGATCAAGGTGGCCAAGGTATGTTATGGGAGGCCCAGCACAGTCCCTATGCGGAGCCTTGAGAAATGCCTCTGCTGCTCTATCAGCTCTCGGGACTGAGGCCTGAGGCCGGAGCCCAGCACAGTTCCCAGGTCCTCTCTGCCAGGGGCCCGCTGACCTTGACTCTCAGGTCCCGGTGGTGGGAGGCTCACTTCCTCCCTGGCTCCTTCCTTGGGTTGAGCTAGGATCCTCCTCTCTGTGAGTGCTGGTCTTTGGGTGCTCACCATGCCCACCCTGAGCACCTGTCCCACCCAGGAGGGGTGTCAATGGAGGGGACTGAGCTAGAGCTCCAGCTGCCACCTCACAGCCGTCGCTCCCCTCCCAGGAGTGCAGAGCCCTACGGAGCTTTTCCGCCCTGCACGCCATCCTGTCCGCTCTGCAGAGCGTGTCCGTCCACCGTCTGAAGAAGACGTGGGGGAAAGTTTCCAGGTGGGTAGGCCTCTCCCGAGAAGAGGATGGGTGGGGTGTCTCTCATATGCCTTCTAATGTCCCCTCAGGAGCTGGAACCTCTTGGGAGGCAGCCACCCCTGGGGACAGGGACTGGGCTGCTGGGCAGGGTCTCTAAGCCTCCCTGGGACCTCAGGCTGCCAGTTCTGCCTCAGGAATCAGTTCCCCTAAGTGCCAGAGACTGGATTGAGCCCCATTGGAGATTTTCAAGTGTTTATACCACTAGAACCCTAGGCCCAGTTGAAACCGAAACTGGTCAAAACAGAGCTGCCCCATAGAAATGGGAATGGGGCCCAGGTGACCCACAGGAGAGCCCCGCCCAGGCCACGGAGACCTTCCTGCTGGGAGGAACCCAGTGAAACCCTCACCCCAGCGCCTTGAAATACTGAACTGTCAATTAGATTTTGCCTGTAACAACCCCCCTCCCCTCGCTCATTCTTTGTAAACATGTCTCCCTCCTGCCCCGGCTCAGGAGGAGCTCGGCCACACTGAACACGCTGTGTAAGGAAGACAACTCCAGGGCCAGCGCGCAGCTCAGCGAGGTAGAGCGGAGGCTGGAGGTCTGGAGGGGGCCCTGGGCTGGATGTGGCTTCGATAGTTTGTCACTTAAAGATTCTCTGCAATGTTTGCCCTCTGTCCTGAGTAAGAGGAAGAGGGCTCTGTTTGGCCCATGGCAGGGGGCAGCTCCAGGGCAGGAGGCCCGGGCCTGGCCCACAGTGATGCTGGCTGGGCGGCTCCGGGACGGGTGCAGGGCTGGCACATTGAGCGGGTCTCTGGCTTCCATGCGGGGCCATCCCACTGGCACGTAGCTTCTTCCAGGCTGTTGGGTGAATGGGGTAGGTGGGCACCTTTCTTCCCAAACCAGCCCCGCCTGGCCTTGGAAGCCAGGCCCCTGCTGCTCCTCTGTCTTCACCACCCCTCCAAGGGGAGCGCACCCTGCCTGCCCCAGGGATGGGCACTGCAGGGGACTCCCGTGGGCCAGGGGAACACAGGGCTGCTTGGCCTCAGGTCCCACTTGCTGGACCCGAGACAGAGAGGTGAGGTGTGCCTTCTGTGACTTCCCACTGTGCCTCTGTGACTTCCCACTGTGCCTCTGTGACTTCCCACTGTGCCCTGGAGCACTCGCTGCCAGTCAGTCAGTCAGTCAGAAAGGGGCAGGGGCAGGCCCCAGGCCCAGGGGCACACACCCAGGGAGCGTTGCAGCTGGGAGTGACCCAGAATTGAGGGTTCTGGAGTCAGAGTGGCACTGGTACCAGCTGACTTGGGCCAGCTGTCCAGGGTCTGAGGTCAGGGGTGGTGGGGGAAACGGGGTGAGGAGGCATGGCCTCATGACCCTGTCCCGGACCCTGGCAGAAGCGGCCCTCCAGGTTTGCCACTCTGCTGCGGACCCTCCGGGGAACTCGGAAGAGGCCGCACAAGAAGGTGAGTGAGCCTGTCTGGGCTCCAGGGTCAGAGGAGAGGGGCTCGGCCCTCCCAGCTGGAGGCCTCCAGGTCAGGAGAGGGAGGCCTCCCTCCTCCATCCACCTCCTGTTCCCACAGAGCCTGCAACCCTCCATTAGCAGGGACCTAGGGGGGGCCTAGAAGAGCTGGGTGCACCATGCCTGTGGGGGTGGGGCTGGGCTGGGGCCACAGGCCCTGTGATTGGCCAGCAGTAGGCCCTGGAGGTGATGAGGAGGAGTTCCTGGACAGTGAGGGAAGGGGCCATTGAGGGGAGGCTCTAAGGGTCCCGGGCTGCTCCATGTGGGGTCCCTGGGGTGAGACAGGAGGGGAGGGTGGGAAGCTTTCAGGGGATTGTCCGTGGGGCCAGCTGAGAACAGGAGCTCATCCCACCCTCACCCTGATTGCCTAGTGTGTTCCCTTTCTTGGGAAATTTCTGACTGACCTTAAGATGCTGGACACTACATTGGAGGATTATCTGGAGGTAAGTGACCTGGGACCTGGGTTGGGTGACCAGGATTGACATTTGGGGAGAGAGAGGCCCAGTACTGAGCCCCTAGATCTCAGCACAGCTTCCCCATGGAGATGGGCCTCATGCCCTTTCTAGGGACCCATGTGCCCCTCCTCTGGAGCCCAGAGCTTGGCCGCTCCCCAAGTCCTGTCTGTTTGTGTTTCTGCCCCCTCCTGGGACCTGGTGGTACTGCATCATGAGAAGGGGTGGGCATAGGGGCTTGTCAGGGCCAGGGGCCCTTCCTGATGGACTGGGGCTGTCTGCCTTCCAGGGGAACCAGATCAACCTGGAGAAAAAGGAGAAGGTGAGCAGCTGTGGCACCTCCTGCGGGCAGGGGAGGGCAGGGCAGTGAACATCAGAGGGGCCTCCCAGCACACTCCTGGGCTCCACCCCGCATCTTACACTCACTGGGAGAGTTTGATGACAGCAGAGGGAGACCCTCCAGGTGGTGGCTGGGGTAGGGGGGTGGCATCAAGGAGCACTGCCTGGAGGAAGGGCTGGCGAAGCCCATCTCTGAGCACAGGTAGGGCCTCATGGAATTAGGGGGAAGGGCGGTGCCCATGTGTGCAAAGACCCAGGACCTGTCCCCACGCCACTGCTCACCCCGCTCGGCCGTGTCTGCACCCTCTCCTTCCCTCTGGCCCCAGGAACAGAAAGTCATGGAGAAGATAGTGCTGCTGCAGGAAGCTGCCAACATGTATGAAATAGAGCCCGAGGAGAAATTCGGGGCCTGGTTCTGGGCCCTGGAGCGGCTCAGCGAGAAGGAGAGGTGAGGCCGGGCAGGAGCCGGGTGAGGGCGGGGTGGACTCCCCTGCGGGCCAGGCCAGAGAACCTGTGTCCATGGCTCCCAGGTCAGCCCCCGCCCTTGTTGTGTAGCAGCCCCTGGGGCACCCGACCCTGGGAGAGACACCTGAGAGATGGCTCCTGGGAGCTCACAGGTGCCCCTCTGTCCTGTAGTTACATCCTGTCCTGCCAGCTGGAGCCCCGGTCCTAGTTGGCCTGCAGAGCACTCCAGGCCAAGAACTGCTTTGAAGGATCTGAAGTTTATTCTGAGACGAAAGAAAGTCATTGAATGATTGACAGCAGAGGAGGAATGATTCTTAAAATGAGCTCACTTTCATGGATTTGCCCTCATGGAGAACATATTTGGATACAAAAATTTCCTGTCATGGAAACTCTTAGGTTTTAGGTAAATTTTTATTAAATAAGGACAATACAAACTATTCTTTCTAAGAGTAGCACACACACACACACACACACACACACACACACAGTTTTTATCTTGAGAACAATTTCCTCAATTTTACAATAAGGAAATTGGACCAGATTCTATTTTCCTTTTGCAAAATAAAAGTAGATTTTTTACTATAAAGTAATTCATGGTTTTAGCTAGAAATGAGAAAGGTTTATGTAGTGTGATCATCCACATATTCCATTGGAAATAATACATATATACCTTTTCAGATATGCTAGTGATAGGTGTAAATATACACTTATCCATATTTGTCATCATTTTATGTTCTATTTCTATTTGATAGTATATTGTACTTCTAATATTAAAATATTTCTGAAAGATAATATCTTGTAGTACCTTTTGTCCTGCTATGTCATATATTAAATAATTTAGTCTAATTAATAAATTTAAAATTATTTTGTTTTCTCCTTTTTGAATAATTCTGAGATGATCATCATTCTACAGTACCTCTGCACATTTATTTATTTTTTAATTATTTCCTGAAAATAAAATTTGTTTCCAAAAATACGCACATTCTAAATTTTAGTATCTATGTGTTTTGAATAATTTGATCAAATTCCTTTGGAATTTTGATTGGGATCTCCTCAAATTTGTAGATTGGGTTCAGAGGAATTCATTCACTGGCTCCTCTAACAGGTATGTATTGAGCGCCTCCTAGAGGCCAGGCTCTCAAAGCGCAGTGGTCCACCCAAAGAGTTGGTAACAAGGGCAGGCTTGCATAAAAGAGTCAAAGCAGCCTGCACATACATAACAAGCCGGGACTTGCTGGGTGCTCTGAACAAAGGAAAAACAGACAAAGAGACAAATGGGCACAAGGTAATGTTGTAGATAGGATGATGTGAAGGTGTGTGGGATCGAGGTGATAGTTGAGGCTGCTTTGGGACTATGCACAGATGACCAGCAAAGTATAAACATCCCCAACTGGGCCCCCATTCTGGCCTGTGACTTGGAAGTGTTCTCGGTGGCTCCTGATCTGAGAAAGTGTAGCCAGCCTCATTCTTTACAGAAATGAGGACAAAGGACCCAGCCTCTGGCCTCTCTGGACCCCTTACCATGAAATAATCTTTAATTGGGGTGCATATTCTTACTTTACTCTGTTGCTTTATTATATCCTCTTCCTGTAACAAACTGTAGGCAGCATGTATTCCTGCTTAACTGACCCTTAGTTATCCAAGTGCAGCGCACATGGTGTTAATTCCATGTTCAAAATGGGCGACCTGACCTACAACAGAGCCACCCACCTGTCCTCCCAGTATGTGGCCCAGCTCACCACATGGGGTCTCTTCCAGGCACCATCGACATCGCCCAGGAAACTACAATTGCTGGTGCTTCCCTTGAGATGTGGGGCATTTGCGTTGACTCCTATAAGCACCATCCCAGTCCCCAGCTCACTGTAAGAACTTGGCACTTCTATTTCCATCATGTTGCTCGTGCAGTGCATGGAGGATAAGAGGTCAAGGGGCTTAGAATCTGTAGAAAGGTCGTTGTATGGTACTGAAGCAAGAACTATGACAAAGATAGTGTGAAGGGGGTGCTGGTGATGCAAGTACTGAAATCATCAAAGAACGAGAGACCTCGGGGTTTGTGGATGACTGCAGCAAGCAGGGCTGGTACAGTGTGAGAACAAAAGATTCAAAGAATTGGCAAGAAGAGATGGAGAATGGTCTTAGGCAGCAAGGAGATGCCTACCTCCAGGCTCTGGGGCAGGAGGGCATGTGGGTGTGGGAGTCACGGTTCAGCAGAAGAACAGCAGGTGCTATGACTGGAGGGCCGTGCAATGGTTCCTGGGTGGCTGAGAGCCAAAGTGGTCCAGGCTTCGACTGGCACCAGGGTCCCTGATGGAGGTACCATGCATTGGTTCAGTGATATGTCCCAGGTGCTGGCCTTAGACTTGGAATCTAACACATGCTCAGTCAGTGTCTGTGGAATGGTAGGGAACGCATGGTCCTCTGGCCCGAAACTTGGATGAGGCAATTTCTCAGGACACTGTCCTTCCCAGAGTATCCTGGGGCCAAGCCAGGTGTGTGAATATTGTGCAGTCTGCACTGTGTCCAAGTGGATAGGATGAGGCCAGCTCTGAAGTGGGGGTCCATGTGGCAGACTGGAGGCAGGAGAGGAAAGCACATTACAAGCTACAGCTAGGGACAAGGCTGGAAGAGGCAAAACGTGTGGGATGGCAGGGGGACAAAGGGTTAAAATGGGGTTTAACACAAGGTCATTGAGGACAGTCTTTATACATTGCACCTGTGCTCCTGGGGCCTGCAATGGGAAGGCTGAAGTCCTTACACTGGTCAGCAACATGATGGATTGTGATAACAAT